CACTGCATTAGAGAGGGCTAAGATATAAGCTTAAATCAAAATGCACCACTGAAATGTTTTCTTCAGTGTTGTGATAATATTCTAAATTTTCAGTCGGCACTATTCAATTTCCAGAGTTTAATTTCTGTTATTTTATTGCTGATTTGTACGTGCACATACTTACGTGCTCTAACGCCGAGACTGATTGATCGAAATAAAGAAGGGTTCGTTTATTGTTATTTTTTCATTCCCCTAATATCTGGCGGAAGATTGCTTCTTGTGTGATATAAACGTCTTCAAGGATATATTTCAGATTTTTGTCATTTCATTCCTAATTTATTGTTGAATTATCAATTTTTGTGCGAATATTAGTGAGGCGCAAAATGTGTTATGNATTTTATTTTTTTTACGATTTTTTATTTTATTTTCTATTTTATTGTTAAATTATCAATTTTTGTGAGAATATTACGGAAGCGCAAAATGCGTTATAATAGTAACTAAAGATTTTTGTGATTGATCGGATTTGTTCATATTTCTTCATTTTGCTTTCATTGAATTTAATATTCATCATCAATTTTATAACTGAATAATTGAGTGAATTACTGATTAAATATATTCAGTTAGGTATGCATTGAATCGTTGAAGATGAGATTATTGTCAAATGATTTGTCTGCTTCAGTTTACTTGGTTTCTTCTGGAAGTGTGCACGAATAGGCGAGCGTCTGAGTCCTTGGGTGGCATTGGCTTGTTTCTCGATGGCATTCGTTGTTCTGTTCTTTTGATCAGTGGAGAATATTCAACCAATCAAAATTCCAATAATTTATTCAAAAAACTCTCAAAACAATGCAAAGTCCCAATCAGCAACAACAACAACATATCGATGAAGTAATCGTGGAATTCAATTTCTTTCAACGTTTCATTTATCAATTCGATGATTTGATCAGCCAAATTGAATTACTCAATTTCTAGTCTGAATCAATCGCGTTCTTATGATTCTGGAATGATTCCCCAAATTATTTGACTGAAATTTTGTTCAAAACGAAAACGTTTTCAACGCAATGTTCAACGATACGTCAAAATATTCATTGTTGTCACATGCAACTGTTTCAGGTAGAATATGAACTGAAGAAGCGTTTACCACCAAAATATCAAAAGTCAAAAAATGATATCTACATAACAAGGTTTGGCTCGTTTTCGTCGCGTTGTTGATAGTCACGAAGAATGTTATGAACACTGCAGTGATAAATGAAAATATTGTAATATTAACGAAGTGAGTAATGCCGCACTAAATAAGTAAATTTTTGAAGAAATACATCGCTGTCGAGACAGTCGAATCGCGTTCAGAAAATATTGGACTCTGAACTGGACGAGGTGGTATTGCATGGAATCGGTGCGGCCGTGAGTCGTACGCTGAATTTGGCACTTCAGATTCAGCGAAAGTTATCCAATTCGGTTCAACTTCACATTCGAACGAGTACTGTGAAGGTGAGTGTATTGCATTATCGCTTTCGATGCTAATTGTAAGTTTAATTTTCTATCGAAATTTGCAATTGCCGTCGATTAAATCGTTGTTTGTATTTATGGAATGGTGCAGTGGTAAACGGATGACATTACATCGAATGAATGATAATGTTTTGAAGGTGACCGATGATTTGTTTCCGCTTTATGACGAAGTCGATTTCACGTCAAGAAATCGTTCGATATCAGCCATTCACATACGCATATCACGTCGAGTACTGCCTTGAGTTCATTCTCTATCAATATCAATATCCTTGTTTATTAGGGTTGTTATTATTTAATATTATTATTGTTGTTATTATTGTTATATTATTATCGTTATTATTATTATTATTATTATTATTATTATTATTATTATTATTATTATTATT